TTCTGAGACACCAGAAATTTGAATATTTGATCACTTTATGGTGTCACATATGTCACATAGCTGTTGCTCATTCTTTCTTATTTTTATCTGTCTGGGTTCAAAAGACCTATTTTTAAGTTATAAAGTTCTGCTTGATACAGTGTATCGTTGAAACTGTTGGATCTATTTTGCATTTCATTCAATGAATTCTTCAGTTTCAGAAAATTTTTTTTATATCTAGCTCTTTGGGAAGTTTCTCATTCATATCCTAAATGGTTTTTCTGATTTCTTTGTATTATTTTTCTGATTTCTGTGTTTTCTTGTATCTCACTGAGCTTTTTCAATTTTTTTTGAATCATTATTTTGAATTCTTTTTCTGAGATTTCACACATTTCTTCATTGGAATCTGTTGCTAGAAAATTACCATGTTCCTTTGGAAGTGTCGTATTTCCTTCTTCATGTTTCTTGAATCCATATTTCGGTATCTGTACATCTGCTTTAACAGTCACTTCTTCCAATTTTTTGAATTTGCCTTCATAGGGGAGGATATTTTCCGTAAGATATATCTATCTGTGGTGTTGGTTGGGTACATACATCACTTTGGCTTTGATTCCAGATGCATGCATTAGTGTAGTCTCAGTACAATTTCTTTGGCTGTAGACAGTATCCGTTGTGTGTGATTTCCTCAGCAGCTTAAGGTGCAGTTGTTAGTTGCTGCAAGGAAGCATTTGCTGGAGATGGGAACATCAGGTGGGCCCATCCTCCAGCCCCAAGAGTGGCAGCAGCAGGCTGAGCATGCCTGTCCTTGGGCCCCGGGGCAGTGTATGCTGGCAGTGATGTTAGAGGGTCCAGGTGGGCTGATTCTTGGGCCTCCAGGAAGCTTGCTTGGATGCCAGCAGTAGCATGGTGGGCAGGTCCTTGGGCTTGCTGCCCATAGACAGCAGGTGTGGTGTGGGCAGTGGCAGGACAACCCTCTGATTCCCAAGTGGTTTGCGCTGGTGTTGGTGGTGACTGTGACAGCTGGGTGGCTAGTCTCCAGGCCCATAGGTGGTACAGTGGGTGGTGGTAGCAGCAGGTTGGGTGGTCCCTTCCTGAGGTCCCTGGAAGGAGTGCTCAGGTGTTAATGATAAGTGCACCCTCCAATGCCCGATGGTTGTGCTTGGGCACAGGGGTAGGTGGAGCCAGGCTGGATAGGTCCCTCAGTGGTGTGTATAGGGCTTGGCCATGGTAGGTAGGGGTTTTTCTGTGGCAGCAGCCATAAACAGGTGGGTTGGGAGCATGCACTTTGGCCCCAGATGGTATCTGCGGGGCAGGGTAGCCTGTAATCAGGCTTGACAATGCACAGTAGTGGCTCTGCTGGCTCACTCCTAGTGGCTTGTATACTTTGGCCCTATGGCAGCACCCAGCTGTGGGTGGGGGACTTTAATGGGGTTTCAGAGATGTGGATATGCAGGGACTGTTGGGCCTCAGAGAAGGATGCAGTCTGCTGGGGCCTGGGCTCTCAAAATGGTGCCCTGCTGCAGCTGCTTAGGACTGGGGCAGGGGAGAGGGCTGGGATGAGCTCCCTCTCTGGAGCAGTGCCATCACGCAGTCCCCAGGCTCCCTGTTTGTGTGGGTTGAGGGTTTCTCCTGTGGCTGGGATTGCAGGACTTCACAATGGGAATGTGGATGCTGTTGGAGGTCACTTACCCTTCTCCAGCATGGGAGAGCCTCCCCAACCAATCCCTGCCAAGCACCCTGCCTTGCTTCCCTCTCCTTACTTGCCTCAGATGTTTCCTGTCATTCTGTTGTTAAATTCCAGCAGTCTCTCTTAGGTGATCTATTCAAAGTGTGATTTATCTAGTACTGTTTTGGTGGTTCTTCAAGCAGAAAGCAAGTACCAGAGGCACTTTAGTCAGCCATCTTGAAACCCACTCCATTGTTTTCTACTAAATGGCTTGCTGTCCTCGACCATTTATGTACCCGTTAGGCATCTTCCTACTACTTTTGAAATTAGAGAACACCTTCATATTTCTGGTATAAATTCCAGAGACAAAATATAGCCCAGCAGATCTCTGGGTGACACCTGGTGTAAGTCATCTAGTCAGTGCAGGGAGATGTGGGTATGCAGGGAGAAGGCAGGGCTATGTGGTCCAAATAGGACTGACTGTGAATGGGCAATTCCATCTAGAAGGGGAATTTAAAGGTAATCATGTTGCTCCTGAGCCTGTCTGGTACCACACACTGTATTGGTCATAGAGCTCTGTAAGTTCTTACTCTTAAAACAGAAGTAACTGAATGCCTTACCTAGAATGGGTTTAATAGATAAGGTTGGCAAATGGCATGTATGGGGAGGAGAGAAGAGTGGAATCTGCTAAGGAAGGAACCTATACAGCCTTTTTGCTATTAGCCTTGGCACTGAAACATGAGCTATGTCGCCTCTATCTAGTTCTAATGGAACAGTACTGAGAAGCTTCAGACATTCAACTTTTCAGTGGCAGTTAGGGAAGCTAACGGAATGGACTTTCTTTTAAAGGAAGTCATGTCAAGTGTTTGCTTTGCTCACAATCAAAGTAGAGCCACCAGAAAGACACTACCTTTTACCTTTGTTGAACCTACTCATATAGGAAACTTTTGCTGGCAAGATGGGAGGGGAAAAGCCAGTCCGGATTTCTCGGCATGTCAGCTGTGGAACTCAAGTTGACCCAAGGTCTGAGAAATTCAGGGTGTCCACTTTCTTGAGCTCTGCAGAAATGGAAGTCTTCACAGAGCTACACCGAGTACCCTGACCCAGGGAAACACAGTATGGGCACATAGGAAGCACACTCAGGCCATGACTATTTGTCACTAGAGAAGCCAAAGCCTAGAGCACAAGGTTAGGTACAGAACCACAACTGGGGAATCCCAGAACTCTCACGGTGAAATAATTTCTGGGTCTATGGTCAGAGTTTCACTGATGGGGGAAACCTCTATTCTTGGGTAGATGTTCAAGGAGAAAACCAGCTATTTATAGGGGGAAAGACTTCACTTCAAAGTGTTGGAGCATGCTGGGTGTGGTGGCTCACGCCTGTAATCCCAGCACTTTGGGAGGCTGAGGTGGGTGGATCACCTGAGGTCAGGAGTTCGAGACCAGCCTGACCAACATAGTGAAACCCTGTCACTACTAAAAATACAGAAAATTACCTGGGCGTGGTGGCAGGTGCCTGTAATCCCAGCTACTCGGGAGGCTGAGGCAGGAGGATCACTTGAACCTGGGAGGCGGAGGTTGCAGTGAGCCAAGATTGTACCATTGCACTCCAGTCTGGGCAACAAGAGCAAAACTCTGTCCCCCCCCCGCCCCGCCCCCCTTCCCCACAAAAAGTGTTGGAGCTTAGTTGATTACTGATGATGTAAGTAAATGTTAATTCTTTCCACTGGCACGTTGGGGAAGCAGTCTGGAGAAAATAATATTCAATATGAGTTTGCAGACTACCTACAGTTAAAGTCAGGGTTCTTAGAATGAAAATATTGCTACAGGGATTTTAGAATCTTGAAAGAGGAAAGGCCTTGAAGTCCTGGCTCTGAGTTTCCTTCAGGTTGGAAGTAGCATGGGACTAGCTTAAGTCCATTTTATAGTTGATACTTTTGATTTTACAACTCACTTTTTTCACAGCTTGAACGACAAACAAAAATAACGATTCTGCAGAAAGCCAGTGGTACTTAAACTAGCTGATGAGTCAGACTCAGTTAAACAGCTGGTGTGTTCTTTTAGAACTAGATGGTTTATACTAAGTACTTGATAAAATTAGATAAGCCCTGGGTCTTTGCCAGCTTTTGGGAACTGAACACCCATGGCAGTGCCCAGAGAGCTGGGAGTTGATTTGTGTCATCTATTTTAAATAGGCAGTGTCCATGGGGAGAGCTATGTATATTGTTTTCTAAGGACTGCATTTAATTAAGTCTACGAGTCATAAATTATTGAACAGAATTTTAAAGGGAATGTTAAAAATTATATTGTTATTGGACTCCCTAAAAAGAATCATTTCTGTATAAAATCTTTAGGGATGCACCCAAAGTCAAAGGCAGACTGACACGAGAAAGGGAAATTTCTTAGGTCTGATTAGTGTACAGAAAAGTCATAGAACTTAAAGGGGGTACAGGTACTACTGAAAGAATACACTTCTTTGCTGGATCATAACTAACCTACAACCTGTATTACTTGCAAATACAGATTATTTAGTCTCAGTTGCCTTGTTAAATAGTTTGAGGGTAGAAGAGCTCTCTTTGGTGAATTAATCAAATAGTCCCACAGGTTGCCCAGAGCAAGGGCAACCTGTGCCCAGAATGCTAGCACTTTATCCCAAGACTCAGAATTAATGATGATACTGGGTCAGGCGGTGGCGCATGTCTGTAATCCCAGCACTTTGAGAGGCCAGTGCAGGCAGGTTGCTTGAGACAAGGAGTTTCAGACTAGCCTGCGCAACATAGTGAGACCCTCATCTCTACAAAAAATAAAAATGAAAACAATTAGCTGGGCTCAGTGGCATGTACCTATAGTCCCACCTACTTGGGAAGCTGAGATGGAAGGATTGCTTGAGCCCAGGAGTTTGAGGATGCAGTGAGCTATGACTACATCACTGCACTCCAGTCTGGGCAACAGAGCAAAGCCCCATTACTTTAAGGAAAACAAACAAACAAAAAAACCAATGGCAGCACTGGTCTTGACTATCAGAATTATAATCCAAATTGCAAGGGGAGGAAGTGTCCCTGAAATCCTGTTTAGAAAACCATAAACAAGGAAACACTTGTTTGTATACAGTTTGAAGGGTGTTACAGCTAGACTGGCAATAGATTCTTCTGAACAAGTTAGTAGGGCAATAGTTTTGTTTCTTTAAAGGATTAACATTTAGGTATTAATGCGTACGTGAATGTTTGCCTAGAAGTCCTGTTCCCTATATAATAATACTTCGATAACCATTTTAAATGCCAACCCTTCCTTAATATAAAACTTTTGCATTGTTATGTTAAATAAACTATGTTTTCTCTTTATTCTTTTCTTTTAGCTTTATCTTCAAGCCAGGATGAAGGGAGACTGGGCAAGACTCTTACGCCCCACACTGCAATTTGGTCTTGTTGCCATATCTATTTATGTGGGCCTTTCTCGAGTTTCTGATTACAAACACCACTGGAGTGATGTGTTGACTGGACTCATTCAGGGAGCTCTGGTTGCAGTATTAGTTGTAAGTATACAGGTCAACAGCCTACATCTTGATATTGTTAAACATTTAGATAATAGAAAAAAAAAAAAAAAATCCCCAGTGAGAAAACTGTGCAGTGGGCAAGAATCTCAGTGTTATTAAAAGTCACTTCAGGATACACAGCAGGTTAAAAACTAGGTTACTCTTTGTAAAACTTGGTATTTTTGTAAAATCTTAGTATTTTTATTGTAAAAAGCTCTGGCTAGAAATAGTTTTTTTAGGGGGGTATAAATTGAAAAAACTAATTCACATGTAGAAATAACTCTTTTATTAAGTATTGGCAAAATGAAGCTATTTGCTGAAGACATAACAAAGCAACTCTTAATTTGGAATAATCTTTAAAAAATCCCAGTTAGTCTCTAATTTTTTATATGCTTTAATCTGTACACCCCCAAAGTATATCCTTTTGTTTATATTTATCTCAGGATGCTGTTGATCACAAGTTTTTAACTTGATCTAAATTAAATGTTTTGCACTGTAGGCTGTATATGTATCGGATTTCTTCAAAGAAAGAACTTCTTTTAAAGAAAGAAAAGAGGAGGACTCTCACACAACTCTGCATGAAACATCAACAACGGGGAATCACTATCAGAGCAATCACCAGCCTTGAAGGGCAGCGGGGTGCCCAGGTGAAGCTGGCCTGTTTTCTAAAGGAAAAGGATTGCCACATGGCAAGAGGATGCATCTTTCTTCCCAGTGTATAAGCCTTTAAAGACTGCTACTGCTGCTATGCCTCTTGGATGCCCACTTTGTGTGTACATAGTTACCTTTAACACAGTGGTTATCTAATAGCTCTAAATTCATTTAAAAACTCCAAGCCTTTCACCAAAACAGTGCCCCACCTGTATACATTTTTATTAAAAAATGTAATGCTTATGTATAAACATGTATGTAATATGCTTTCTATGAATGATGTCTGATTTAAATACACATATTAAAATGTATGGGACAACCAAATCCACACTTGCAGGCATTTGTAGTCAACTGTAATCAAACAGGTGGTGAATAATTTAAAATCTCACATTCCTTTAGCTGACTCTACAAGTAGAGGCTGGCAGCAAACACAATATCTCTCTTGATTTTGGTGATTCCTAAGAGAAAAGAAAGTAAGGTTTAAACTTTCAAGACCACAAAACACCTAACTTGTCTCTACCGAAGTTTTAAAGCCAGTTTACCAACCCCGATTCAACTGGTGAGAGAGCAGCCTGGAAAGTCAAACACCCTGCTGAACACCTAGAGGAATCTGCAGCTACCTCAGTGAGGTGGAAAACAGAAGCCAGACCCCCATTCTTTTGACTCTGAAATACTCCATGGGGGCTGGTCAGGAAGGCGGTATCTAGAACTGTTTAAAAAGATAAATTCTAGGTCGGGGGCGGTGACTCATGCCTGTAATCCCAGCACTTTGGGAGGCCGAGGCGGGAGGATCACCTGAGGTTGGGAGTTCAAGACCAGCCTGACCAACATGGAGAAACCCTGTCTCTACTAGAAATACAAAATTAGCCAGGCGTGCTCGTGCATGCCTGTAGTCGCAGCTACTCGGGAGGCTGAGGCAGGAGAATCACTTGAACCTGGGAGGCAGACGTTGCAGTGAGCTGAGATAGCACCACTGCACTCTAGCCTGGGCAACAAGAGCGAAATATATGTGAATACCACTCTGTCTCCACAAAAAAATAAAAATAATAAAAATTAAAAAAAAAAAAATTCTAGGAAGGACTAAACTGTCTGAAGAAATGTAAATCCAAAGACTTGGATTTTCAACCTATATCAGAAGACACTGTTTTTTTCAGTTCCCATGTTAAAGTCTTTCTAGGCTTAGGAAGGAACAAATACAAATTTTGATTACAAATTATTTTTAAAACTTTGACACCTACACTTCAACTCTGAGTCATTAAACAGGCCTGCATTTCTCAACAATGTGGAAATATAAGCCAGCTTTTGCAAACCTCTTCTTAGGACACTAAGTTGTTAATAGAAATCACTAGCATTGACTGACTCAGCAACCATGTGGTTACTATTCTTTGATGCTTTAATTTAGTCCTTTTTCTTGGTCAAGATTCAGTAGACATGACAAAACTATTTACAGACATGCTTATGCCCCTTGTCCCCCCACACCACCCCATTACTACTACCTTGGTTTAGCCATCCTTTCTTGATCTGGTCTCCCTGCTTCTACTGTGCTACTCTACAGACTTGCCCTGAATGTAAGAGCAAGAATTACCTTGTAAAGTCCAAGTTAGGGCAGGTCACTCCCAAGCTCCACACCTCCAATCACTGCAGAGTTGAGAAGCCTGCGGCTAGGAACTATGGAATACTTTCCTTTCTCACTTCAACCCCTACTACTTTACTCACCGCCCATTCCACTCCAGCCATACTGGCCTCTTGCTGGCGTTCATGTATATTAAGCATACACCAAGGGGCTTAATTGCCACCTTCCCTGTGGAGGCCCTAGACCATTGTATCCATCTGCCAATTCTATTGTCTTTTCTGCTTATAGACTTTATCACCATCTGATAAATTTAATTGTTGACTTATTGTCTATCTCCCCACACTAGAATGTAAACTCCATGAAGGCAGGGGTGTCTTTCTGTTCACTGTATTCCCTAGTGCTTAAAACAATGCCTGGCATGTAGTGTACAATTAATATATGTAAATGGATGTATATGTAAAATCTCAACTTTTCCCCCAACACACTAAATTTTATAGAAACACTAGTAGATAGCTCTCCATGACAATGCAGTGAAGAACATCCCAAAATGTCCTCCTGGGTTGTGGTCCAGGGCTCAAGATTTGCTTCACAAAATTGGTCTAAATTAGAAACAGCTTATGCATTTGATACTGACCTTCTGCAAATTTATTTTCCAGCTCAGTGTTTCCAATGGCTTTTGCTGCTTGACACATTTGTCGAAGCAATTCTTCTAGGCGCCTCATACAACGAATTATGCTGCCTGGATAGAAAAGGAACAAAACACCGATAAAATGGAAATAATCAGGAACAGCAGAATTTTTGTTAAGAGGCAAGGCAGGAGAACACAGGATAATACTCTGAGGGACTTCCCATGAAGTAAATCAGGTAGCAAACCTGTTAGGTACTGGGGAAGGCTACAAAGATGAAAGGCTTAACTCCCACCTTTGACTAATGGTAGAGATACACCTGTTTATTACTAACATGCTGACACTTGGTATTAAGCAGGAAAACAAAATGCCCTAGGAGGAGGGAGCAACTTTGGGTGAAGGCTGCAAGGACGACATAATCTGTGTAAGAACCAAGCAGTATCAACAAGGGAAGGACCACCATGACAATGCAGAAAAGCCTGGCAAACCGCAGCCATTCAAGGACCCTGAGTGGCCTAGTGAGGCATCTGGACACCATACCATCTCATAGAATGCAACAGACTGTTTTTAGCAGGAGAGTAACAAGATAAAATTTGTCATTTTAAAGGTGCATTCATTCTTCTTGACCTTAGATTCTTTCATTAGTGCGTTCTTTACAGAGTGTTCTCAAGGAGCACAAGGAAAGAAGCCTTTTCCCATGGGTCTAGAATCTGTCTGAAAAAAGTGTTTGTATCAAAGCTGGAGCTATAAACATAGTTTCACTTTTGCTAGACTTGTGCAAAGAGGGGCAGAGATTGTGAGATCCTTTCTCTAAAATGCTTGTGACTTCATTTTTAATATATGAAATACATCAGGAATACCAGTTCTCAAAATGCAATCTGTAGGAACAATGAACTATTTTACACTATTATTAAATTAATAATAATTATTTATTTGTCATTTCTATTCTCAGCTGCTAGGAATGCAGGCTCCAATACTGGCTTGCAATGAAACAGGAAATCCAATTGCAGAAACTTCTGGGTGTCGAGAGAGAGGGTAGGAATTGGGATAGAGAGGGTAATGTCATATACTTATGCAATCAGATATTAAATGTTTATGCAAACAATTATATCCAAAGAGAATTAAATTAGGTAGTGGCTCAAAATATAACCAGATTTTTACCTGAGACGAGATTCTCACAGATCATTCAGGATTGAAATGAAATCCTTTACAAAGTCCTCTGCTGCGTAGGACATTAAAGAGCCAGACACATTCTCAAACATTGTTTTGACTGACTTCAAATGTGTACCAAGAAACACAATGTGATACTGTATATTATTTCACAAATTTTAGTAACTCGTGTTAACCAGAATCTGCAAAAGTTATCAGAGACCAAGCCATTCAAAGTAAATTACTAAGATAAAAAGTAAGGCAAGTAAATGCACATTCAGGCCAGAGAGCACTGTCATGTCACATTTTGTAAACATTTCGATTCAATTTCTGGAAAATTTAGTTTTGACACAGTTTCAGGTAACAAGCAAATTAGGCCACTGGGCACAAGGTTGCATATACAATGGCTGTGGTTGTTGCCCACAGAGTCTCATGAACAAATCACTGGGTGTGTGCATAAACACCAACTGTCCACAGCTGCCTGAAACATAGAGGCTACCCGCCCAGGGATTAATGAAGACTAACGACTAAGTAGTGAATTGTCTAGCATCTCTCCTACCTACTATCGTTCTCTGTAATCCAAGGGCTCTCCTTACGCCCAGCTTTAGAAGTCATCCTGCCTCATCAGCCTGACTAGGTGCTAGACAAAAGTTTTAAAGCCATGACCCATCACAGGCTAAATGAAGCTGACCAAAACCGAAACAAAACCAAACTACATCAACCTACTGGTTTGTTACAATTTTTTTCTTTTGGTCCTGCCAGAGTAGAAAGAGAAATCCAATTCTTTCTAGTTATTGTCTTTAAAAAATTCTTCAAATAGTGGTAAAATATAAAACATAAAATCCACCTTTTTAACCATGTTAAAGTATACAATTCAGTTACTGCCCTTTTTTATATTGAGGTTTACTACATTCTGGAAAAACTCACATGGAGATAGAATTCACACACCATAAAATTATTTTAAATAAGTGTACAACTGAGTGGTTTTTAGTATATTCAGACTTGTGTAACCATCATCATTATCTAATTTTAGAGCATTTTTACCACCCCCAAAAAACCCTGTTCCCATTAAAGCAGTTACATGTCTTCCGGACAGCCCATGGCAACCACTCATATGCTCTGTCTCTGAATCTGCCCATTCTGGACATCTCATATAAGTGAAATTATACACTATGTGGCCTTTGTGTCTGCCTTCTTTCAACTTAATGTATTCAAGGTTTGTCCATATTGTAGCATGAGTCAGTATGTCTTTTCTTTTTTATAACTGAAAGCTGTTCCATTTAATCTTTATTAAAATGGAACACCTTGCCATTTAGAATGGCAAAAACCAAATTTATTTTGCACCAACCTAATATATACCACACTTTATTCATCTATTGATGGACACTTGGAACTATATGCTTTAAGAGCAATTTTAATAAACATCACCATTACCCGGTTGATGAACAAAACAGCATCATTCTCATTAAGGACAGTAAGCAGCAGATTTTCCAGAACAGAATTTCTGCCTTCAGCTTTCTGGCATACCCTAAAGCAGTTTCCCACAGTTCATGCTCTGACCCTAATACTCCTGTCTAGCTTGGCCTGAGGTTAGAATCACACATGTATCTTGCAACTACTTACCGCTAAACCCCAGCTTAGGCTGAACCCTTTCTTGAGAGCAGAGACTGCTGCTCACACTGTAACTAGCACGGCGCCTGATTCCCACTAGGGTCTCAGCATTATTCATCAAATGAGTAAGTATCAGGTACTCAAATTGTGCCAAAATGTAAAGACAGAAACAATTACTAATAAATTGTTACTCTATTATTATTAGCAATAATACTTTTAAAAGACAAATCCACTGGAAAACCATTCATGACACTGATGATGCTAAGAAAGGGTTAAACTGCTACTTGAAAGGCATGTGAGAGAATGTGTGGTGGGGACAGAGTTGAGAAATGCACTTCACAGCATTTGCTTTCAAAACATGTGGC